AGTTTACATTTAGCTCATTTTAACTTATCATATGATTAATTAATTGCTTTATTTGAGAGACTTAATTGGCTTATTGCCTAACCCTATCATGACATCACATATTAAATTCCTTATTTATGGTTTTCCCGTCTCTGTGGCTCCTTGGTAATTTGTAGAAACATTTTTAAGACAAACAGCCACTTTTATGTGAAACGTTCTCCCTTGTAGCATTTTTCTCTGGATTTGGATTTGAAAATAAACTGAATTTTATGATGTAACAAAAAAAAAATAGCTCTCAGCACTGAATTTATTTAGGCAGTGAGAAATCTTTCCTCCAACTTGGATAATTTTTGGGTCAACCAGCAAATGCTGCAAAGCTGGAGTCATTTTAAGTCACATATTTGGCTGTATGAAGAATGAATGTCAGCTTTTTAACCCCCCACCTTCCCCAAGTCATTCAGCTGGTTTTTACTGAAAAAAGTCAAGATTAATTGGGTAAAAAATAAGTAATTTAAGCAGCGCCTTGCTTTTATTGCCAGATTGCAGCAGCAGCAGAGAAAAGCTCTGCGGTTGAGTGGAAGTGGAAGATGCCGCGTTCTAGACTGGAGCTGCATTGACTTGACATGTTAAGAATTATACCCCAGGGCAGTAGAAGAGCCTAATTTCTTCTGCACCGTCTAAATAGATGATAGCGTACTGACCTCCCCCTCCTCCTGAAGTGATACTGTAACACACTTTGATATCAAATCCATCCACTCTCTTGCTTTTTTTTATTTCAGAAGGGCAGCAAAGCTGATAGCAATAAATCTAAGAAGATATTTGTAGGTGGAATTCCCCATAACTGCGGAGAGCCTGAACTCAGGGACTATTTCAATAGATTCGGAGTGGTAAGTATCACTGCTGCCCATTTAGTGTTGGTTAAAATCACATTAACGTAAAAAGAAAAAAAAAAGTCCCATCAGATTTCCTCTGGTTTTGTTTTTTTCTGTTGCATTTAAGTTTTTCAGACACAGATAACCTGAGTGAAGATAAATCAGAGTTTTCAAATTTTGTTTGTTTATTAAAAGAAAAAAAGCCAGACAAACCAACTTGCCTCTGTGTGAAAAATTGAGTGTCTGCAGCTTCCTGCTCCAGCACCGCTGAATAAAATGAACGACTAAAACTGGAGTGGAAAGTTTTGAGAAAACCAGAGACTTGGCGTGTTTTCACATCTGATAGTCGGTTAGATGGTTTGGGACCAAAGTTGTAACATTTGTTACTTTTTCAGCTGATGCGCTTCTCTTTCTCACTGCACTGTGTCAAATGGACCAAACCCTTTGAAAAACCTTTTCCCCTCCTCGCCTGTGGGGACGCTGCATCAAGAGCTACTGAAGAAGACGCTGAATGCTACTTCCTTTTTATGAAATGTAAACACAAACAGAGTGGCGTCAGATTTAGTAGGATTTCACTTTTGTTTTTGGTAAAAGACAATGAGCCTTTAATGTTAAAATTATTTGAATAAGCACGACTTACAGGTTCTCAGCTCCTCCATTGCGAATCGTGTCAAACTTGAGAAATTGCCAATTTTCCTGTACCTTTAAGTTATTTCTCCACCTTTATCAAAGCAGCAGTCTTGAGCTTGAACCACTGTACTCACTGTGGTAGAGGTGGGTGTGAGCAGCACCTTTACAAGTGTGATTGCCAGCACAAAGACCCTCCTCTTGGCTCTGATTGGTGGTTTTTGAGCAGGAGTGTTGTATTTCTGCAGATGGCAATAGGACCACAGGGAGGAGATGGAGGAACCTGATTTAGTTTTTCACATTTTCTGTCTCATATTACCAGGAGATTGTAATAGTTTTAATAATTAGTTAAATAAATAAATGTTTATAGAAGTTACCTAGTGCTTTGCCAAACCTGCTGATTGCCAGTGACGCTGCGGCAGCAATGCATCCAGATGTTGGAGGACAGCGTTGCAGACACCCGATTTACAATAACTGATGATCTTTTGTGTGGCTGAAATGTTTAAATTCAGCCACAATTAAGGGTTATTGAGCATCAGTTGTCTGTTCTCAATTAGATACAAATGCAGACTTTGACTAGACCAACTCCCAGAAACCTTCATTGTGTTTCTCTATAGCCATTCAGAGATGAAGTGACTGCTTGTCAAAATTTGCTTTAGCTTAATGTAACGAACCGATGGGCGAACATTTTCCTTCAGGATTTTTTTGGTTTGCAGCAGAGTTTGGTTATTCCAAGCTGTCCAGATCCCCAGATCATCATACTGCCGGCACCGTGTCTGACCATAAGCATGACGATCTTTTTTCTGAAATGCTGCTTTTCACCAGATTAGTATCCGTTTTATTCGCTGAGCATCTTTCCTGTTGAATCATCACTTATTTCACCAAAGCAAGTGAGACCAGCGTGGTTTAGATGTGGTTCTGGGTTCTTTTGTGACCCTGATGAATCGCCACTTCATTCCTGGAGTAATTTTTGTTGGCCGGCCGGATGAACTCCATGTCTTTATAATTTGTTGTTTATGGCTCTCACTGTTTCACTGGAGTCTTGGAGCCTAGAGGGCAGCTGCACAGATCAGTCAATAAATACGCCCCAGTTCATTTTTCTACCACACACACACTGGCTGCGTCTAGTCGGTGGCCGACGCTCCGAGGCGCAACGCCCACATCAGCACAATGAGGCTAATTTGTATTAAAGATGCAGATTTATGCGTTAATTGATAAGATCCAACAAAGTGTTTTTGAACCTTTTCCAGACTGATGGATGTCAATGGTTTTCTTGTTATTAAATCTATTTTTTGGATTTTTTCTAGCTTAAAATAGCAGGAAAAGGTTCTATTTGAGGAGATTCTGGATGCTGCAGCTCTGCTTGTAAAGTTGAACTGATATTAATCATTAATTACAGTTAATTGATTTAAAGTGATCAGTTATTGTTTTACATAGGGGTTGGTTGCTTTGGGGACCTTTTTTCAATTTTAAATAAATGAAATTATTTTGTAAAATCATCTACTCAGGTTATCTTTGTCTATCATTTTTGATTATTTGAATCTATAAAGCTACATTCACACAGCAGATCTTGATACTTCATTCTGATTTTTGATTCTTTTTTTTGCTTGTTTGTTCATAGTACCAATTAAATGCGACTGTAATAAAATTTCAGTTGATGAAAAATATCCAACCTTTTTTTATGCCAAATTTGATTTCTGATTTTAATCTTTTTCTTCTTCCATCACTTAAAAAACTTATTTTTAAATTTTTTAAAATTACATTTATTTTTTTCAATCCTTCTTTCTGTGAGTTGACCTGAATTCAAAGTCGAAATAATTAGAAGCTGTAAATACGCTTGTCAAACAAGATGGCTGACATCACTCAGTCTGAACTATGGAAACTCAGAGTGCACTGCTAAAAAAAAAAAAAATCCAGATTTTCCAAAAAAATTAATTTTCAGAAACGGAAAATTTGATTGACGACTACTACTGTAGATACTTGAAAACAACTGATTTAGTATCACAAAGAAGTGACAAATCAGATTTTTTTTTATGATCGAAAGAATCAGAATTGAGTCGTTCAGACTGGTGTGAAAAAGTCTGATAAAGGTCGCATTTGGGCAAAAAAAGGAGCAAAAATTAGATTTGGGTCACATTTGCCTGGTGTGTGAACATAGAATGAAACACTTTTTCATGGCATTGAAGAAGAACGTTAACAGTGAGGGTTATTAAATTGAATATGAAAGGATCCTGTCCATTTTTCTAAATGGAGCCACTGTTTTCCTTTTGTCCCGTTCAAGGTCACAGAGGTGGTAATGATCTATGATGCGGAGAAGCAGAGGCCCCGAGGTAAAAGCTGATCCCGTTTTTCTCCCCCCCTCTCTCCCGCTCTATTCCTCACCATCTTAAATCCCATGGCAAACTATTCTGGCCCAAAGTGAGAAATCACAACCCATTCATTTCCATTTAATTCACTTAAAACATGTCACCCTGCAGCAGGAGTTGTATGTTGGACGCACACTGAATGACAAAGGCACTTAAAAGAAGCTCAGTTTTCTAGAAAACATTTAGTAGAAAAATGACTAATTCGTCTCACCATCTGCTATCGCTTCATGATTGAATAAAACTCAACTCATTGTGTTTTTATTGTTTTTTCCTTCATGTTTTTTGAAGTTACTGTAGCTATTGTAGGGTTTGCTTTGTAGTGTGTGGGTTGTGACCTTGGTGGAGAACATGAGTCTTCCTGTGATTTTTCCTCAAGATTGATTTCTGAAAAGAAATCGGTGATCAAACGGAGCAAGAAAGCTATTTATTTTAGATTTCTTACATTGAAGGACAATAAAACCTAAAAACAGAGGCTGTAGCTTTAAAAATACCTCTAACAAGACGACTTATGATGACTTATGACATTTGTTTGTTGACTTGAGGTTATTTGTAGTTGAAGGTTCTGCTTAGGCTCTTGATTTTACATTAGGACACTAAAATATTTAATATGCATGCGGTAGAACGCCATTTCGATTTATTTATGGATTTATTTTTATTTTATTTTTTTGTTTAAAGGGGACCTATTATGCAAAATTCACTTTTTTGACATTTTTATACTTCCATTTCAATTCAAATTCAATAATACTTTATTGATCCTAAAGGGAAATTAAATATTTTTGTAACTCGTATTAATTAAAAATTCTTCTGAGTTATTGAATCTCAGATGTTCCTAAAATCAGCCCAAGATCTTAAAGAAAAACACCCAGCTGATTTTTGGCGATGAGTTACAGTTTTTTGGGGGGTTTAGAAAACGAGCCATTTCAAAATATGTCCCAGTGCAGTGCTGTTACCTAGCAACCCCAGGACCTGGCCCGTCACCTAGCAACCCAACTTGCTCCTGCAAGTTTGTTGGTCAGTTTGTTCTACCGCTGTATGCGCCATACAATGTACCTATTCTAACCTGTTCAAGGAACTATAATAACTTTAACGGCTCTCCATATTTCTGCAAAGAATAAGTAATTATTTTGTTTTTTTTGTCACATTTCTTGAAAATATGCCTTACACATATTGTGGCAGTGACAGCAGGGCAAATGTTTTGTGTATTTTAACAGGATTCAGTTAATGTTAACGCATCGTTGTCTAAAGTTTTATGTAATGTTTTGCTTTATAGGAACAAAAGCACCAGGACACATACATTTATATTTAATAGTATGTTCTTTTTAATATTTTTTTTTTTTGTTTTTTTTTTAAAAAAAGGTTCTTGCTACAAAATACTACACTAAGCCCTAAAAACACAGCTAAAATAAATATTTGTAATTGAATCAGTGCATTTTTTTCTGTGCCGTCATAAAGATATTATTTTCTTTTTATGCAAAAAGAAAAATTAGAAAATCCCACATGGGACGGATGAATGCAAATCCGTGTCCACAGTGGCATTAATTACACATGTTGATGTATAGCTTCATAAAATGCTATCTTTTTTTTTTTTTCATAGTAGATGCTTTTCCTATAAAATACAACAAAACGGTTTCATTCAATTAATTAAGAAGTTAATGAAATGCATTCTGGGATCAGAGCTAAAAGGAATTGCTACCTGATAAGGAGACAGATTGTGGGAAAAATAGGTGCTCCAAAAAATACAGCACTTAATCACAGTGCGCAGCTGGCATATTGAGAACAGTTTGAGCATCTAAAGAGGGATTTGTCCTTCAGAGCGGCGGCTCGCAGCCCAAAATCCATATGGCGAATACGACATCGTTACCACAGGAACAATAGCATTGAACTAAACATTTTTTTACCCATTGAAAAGTTTCTCTAACCTATTTCCTGACTGCAGAAACGACTGACTTTTACATCTGTCCGGTTAAGTCATAAATAAATGATGAGCCTTTGACATGTGTCGACACTTTTAGCATTCACGGTCTCCTTGGGAATCAGACTCGTCCCGCCGGCTGTGCTGGCGTCAGGCTCGGCCCGCTGAGTTACAGCCACAGCTGTTTCATCTGCGCTCGTCCCGCATCGCGGCGATGCGGCCGCTGACCCACTGCTTCCATTATCGCTCCGCCTTTTATGTCACCATTCATCCGCTGTTGGGAGGAACCCAGAATAGTTTATCATTGGGATTTAACATGATGATCTGCATCAGTAACAATCATTTATTTAATCTTTAATAGCATTAACGTTTTCTGGTACTAAAACTACTTTATATATGTCTTAAAGATTGGAATAAGTTTTCTTTACCTTGATTTAGAAGTAACTTGTACTTGTATCTTAAATGGCATAGTATGTTTTCCCATTTGTAGAAAATTAAGTATTTTTGTAAGTAAGCCCTTTCTATTTTTCTTTCTTCTGTCCCCTTTCTCCTTGTGAATGGTTTGAATGTGATTAACTTTGTTTTCATAAGATTTGTCTTTTCTCCTTTAGGTTACTGTGCATTGACAGGTAACACAGAGGTACAGGCCTGTTGTAAAAGCACTTCATTTTTACTCTGAAACGGGGTCTACAGAAGGTGCATCAGTTTTTAGACTGAGATAAGTGGTGAGAGAGAGAACCGACTTACTGAGAGTTTTCAATCAGGTTATTCTGGTGGATGGGTGCATATGAAATATTTACTGCATTTATTCTAACCATATGTATTATTTACTGGTAGAAAACTGGCACCACATTTTCAATTGCACTGATCAGATTCTGCGTTTAGTGTTAAATCAAAAACCTGTAATCAGTGGTGGTTTTTGGCATACATGCATTAATAAATTAACAGCTTGTATAAGTGTTAGCAAATTGGCGATAACATCTGCACATCCATTGTGGAGAGTATTCAGATCTGAATTTATTAAGTATATGAAAATAATTTATTAAAGATTTTTGACTTGATTGATATTTGACTGATTCATTTAATCTGCAAGTTTGGGTTTTAAACATCCTTCCTGTGTAAAGTTTAAACACATTGAGACAGTTTTTTCATTTGCATTACCTCACTATAATGTACTATAGTCAGTTCTTGCATCTTAAATGCATGAACTGCTACAATATAACATTTTTGTACCTTTTGTTTCTATGTATGTTAGAATATCTCATTTGTAAGACATCAGATGTTTTACATCTTCTTTTGGATTCAAGCGCACCACAAAACCTGTGTGCTAAATGCCAGAGGCAAAACGGGTCAAACATGAGCTTTCCATCTTTAAAACATAAACACGACGGAAAACTTTCTGAAAGAAAGCAAGCAAGCTTGAAAGAAAGAAAAATCCAAACGATTTGGACTATTGGAGTTATTTTCATGGAGTACTGTCGCCATCTGACAGGTTTGGTTGTCTGAATGGTTAATAACAGGCAGTTTTCATGTGGAGTCCCATCTATACCGAAAGATATTTCACAAACACGCAGTTAATAAATTGAATTCCTGCACCAAAGAGTTAAGAAGTATATATAAGTGCAAGTTTAAATTGATATTTATCACTGTGAAGGAATACAAAAGAAAAAAAAAATCACCTGTGCCCCTTAAGGGGATCAGTAATTTTCAAAAAGTCACTCCAGGTGTAATATGTAACCTTTCTATGTAATATAATATAAAAATGCAATAAATAACCTTAAAACATGCAAAACAGTAGCTCCCAATGAGAAGTTGGCAGCAGTTATCATTGTAACATTAAACATGGCTAAAATGGGCAACATTAATAATGATACAAAACATAGCAATTTACTCATGAAACACTGTGCATTATTAATTTGATCTAAAATACATGTTAAAATACACTGCTCAAAATAAAGGGAACACTCAAATAACACATCCTAGATCTGAATGAATGAAATATTCTCATTGAATACTTTGTTCTGTACAAAGTTGAATTTACTGACAACAAAATCACACAAAAATCATCAATGGAAATCAAATTTATTAACCAATGGAGGCCTGGATTTGGAGCCACACACAAAATTAAAGTGAAATGTTCCCTTTATTTTTTTTGAGCAGTATATAGTACTTGTAAAGAAAACGCAGAGCTGATTCTAATACATACCACAGTTACAGACACCTGAAAAAGTGGCAGTTACAGGTTGCTACGGTAACCACCGCCAAGAGCAGCGAAAAAGAAAATAAGTGTTGACTAAACAAAATAAATTCAAAGAATAAACAAATGTTGACAAACTTCACATTGATAACGTTAAAATAAAACCCCATTTTATATAAATAAATACATATAACCAACATTTTAGAAACCATTTTCTACCATTCCAGTTTGAGTGCAACCAAGATATTTCAAACTTCTTAATGGTGCCATCGTGGTTGTAAATTTAGGTTGGGGACGGGTCATTGACAGATGTTATTAATAGTGGTAGAGCATAAGGCTGGGGAACGCCTGGCGTTGCACTAGAGGTCTCTGAAATCGTCTCGTAGGACTTTTAATTGGATCCAGGTTAGGTCCCTAAGTGGAGATGTGCTCTCAACCCAGTTCTGCCAGAACCCAAAGATAATCAGATTGAAAAGTAGATCACTGCAGCTTGTTAACACTCTGTAGAGAAGTTTTGAAGTAGTTCATTGAGAGGTTGGTGTTCCCAAAAAGTTTGACTTTGAACTCGATTCTTCTTGGTGCACTTTGTGTATTCCCTGTGAAACCCTTTGAGCGAAATAAATGAACGGATCGGCGAGGGGAAAACGCTACGACCTGTATCTTTGTGTTGCCTTTGTAAGCAGTTTTGCGAATGTCCGTTTTTTTTTTTTAGGCTTATCCTGGCAGACTCAAAAGTAAAAAAAATACTGAATTTGGGAAAGCTCGGAGAAAGCTTTAGGCATTCTACAATTTGTGTTACTCCATGTTTTTGTGATGCATTAACAATGGCTGCTGCGAGTGTGTGCTCCACAGCAATATACCAGGGGACAGATCAAGGTGGGGTTTGGATGAAACGGCACTAACAATATGTAACAATACTGCAATTTATTATTTAGGTGGAAAATTTACCTTACTGACCGACCTCATTTTGTAACGATCCTCACCCATCATCCTTCATGTTTAAAATGTAAGCTGTTCATAATTGTTCATTTCACCAAGTATTGCTAAAGAAAAAGGTTTCCTTCAATCCCCCCAGGCTTTAGTCTTGGATTTGTGTTGCTCTGCAAGTCTGCGACGTCATCCGAACCCCAGGAGCCTCTTGCTCATCCTTGACGGATCCTCAATCTGCTGAAGCCCAATACTGTTCTTCATCTTGTGTTGTCACAACCCCCTGCTACCTTGATTCACTCTTGGTCGTTGGCTAGGTTTTGGATTTATTACTTTCGAGGCCGAACAATCAGTGGACCAGGCTGTCAACATGCATTTTCACGACATCATGGGCAAAAAAGTGTGTAGTTGTAGTTTTATTTTACCCTTAAGATCGAACAGAGGCTTGGGCGATGTGCTCTGATGATGATTGTCAGAATTTTCATCAGCAGCTTAAATGCATCATTTAACATCCTAAAATAACAAGAATATTGGCACCACGTAACAACTTATCTCGGCTTCTGTGTGGATTTAATTGTCGCCCAAGGCTTTGTTTAAACTGACCACTCCTTTAGAGTGTCTCAAGTAGATTTAACCAAAATTTCTTAAATTTGTCATATTTTTCTGGCTTTCAGTGCAAAATTATTTCCAATTCAAGTAGTTTAAAATACCATTTATCACCTAAAGGATTGGTCTAATCAGTTCTGTTTTCTTTTTTTCTTCATTCTTTCTTTTGTCTGTTTTCTAATGTTTTGTTGGCAGGTCACTTACATGTCAACATGTTTTATTTTTTAATTTTTTTTTTTCTTTTTGAAAAAGTTCAACTCGGTGACCTCAGTCGAATCTCCATACTGTGTCTGTTAGCTGTCGGAAAAAGCAAAAAGGAAAGTGTGAAGCGCCAGGCAAAAAAAAAGATATTTGCATATCACTTCTGGGTGTTTGTTTAGCTTGCTGGTTTCTCCAGATGGATGGAGTTTACTGCACTCGTTGCAAGGCGTTTCAGATAGAGGCAGGTAAGCTGCTCATACAGGCAGAAACAACACTCTGTTGGTGGTGTCGCATTCGAACACTCTTCATAACCTTTTTGGCACAGTGTGTGTCAGCTCAGTGTGTGTAGTAAACACCACCAGCTGCTGCCTCAGCTGAGTAAAACCCACCCACAAAATTGGCAAGTTTTAATCAAAACATATCTGATATTTGCTCCAAACATGTCTGTTTCCTTGCAGCTCTTGAATCATTGGTGTTAATTTAGTTACATTTGGTCTAATTAAAAAAAGTTAGCCTAATTTTCTGCCTTAATACAAACAACAGTGAATATTGTGGAGCATTGATAAACTTTGTTTTTGCATGACATTATAGGGAAGAAAATGTTGTGAAAGTCAGTTTAATTTACTAGACGTGAACAAAACCTTCAATAAAGTTCAGTTTTTATTACAGCAGCAAAATCTCACTCTGAATATTTCAAAAGATCCACAGTTAAATTCTCATTGTGATGTTATGCTAATACAATAAATTATAATTTGTCTACATCTGTACCATTTTATATTCTGGCACAATTCAAGTTGTATTTAAAAATGCTGTTGTAGCTGTTAACATAACTAAAAACTAAAAGTTTATTTGCTTGGCTGAGATTATTTCTCAGTGCGAATAAGCGAATGTTTAACAGATTTGATCATTAAAGTTTTCTAAGATAACTTCTGCTTAAATACAAACTGAAAATATAATTGGGATTTATTTAAAAAATGTCATAAACCAAATGCACAGTTCCCTTTAGCATTACAGAACAAAATGGATTAAACATGTAAAAAATAAATAAATAAATACTTTCTCAACTATTATTAATGTAATAAACCCTTTTGAGGAACTGTTTGAGAGTATTCAGTACAAACAGAAATTATGTAAATCCAGTTTATGCTACTGGTTGCAATCTTTTTCTCCCATTTTGTAAACCTACTTGAATAAGAACATGGCACATGCATACAGAGTTTTAAAGTCTATTTTTATCATTTATAGTCCTCTACAACAGCTCATAGCGCATATTATCTGGAAATGTATAAGTTGCATTTGAATAAATAGAAGGATTTGTGTGTGCATCCTTAAAAAAATTTAAATTGATGCATTTAAAATGAAGGCCTTAAAATGTCTTAAATTAATTGAAAATCAATAAGTTGGACTTAAATATGTTTAGACTATTTAATCTGATTCTATGTAGTTTTTTTTCTTGCAGGACTTTACCGTTATGCATAAATTTGTCTGTATTCATTGTGTTCTGTGATTGAAGGTAGTTGCTGCTACTTGTAGCTAGCTGCTAATATACTCTTGTTAGCTAACTAGCTTGCTAGCAAGAGTAACGCTAGCTAGCTTTTTTACATCCATTATGTGTAATTGAAAATTTATGAGCAGTTAGTCTTTGCCACTGGGTCTCCTCTGTTGCCACTTCTTTAGTCCATTTCTGTTGTGATACATGTCTTAAATTCTGGTCATAAAAAGTCTTAAATTTGAGTTGGTGAAACCTGGAGAAACCCTGATATAGATTGGACAGAGATTTTATAGGCTCAGGATTGTGACATCAGTGAAAAGTTGAAAGGAATTTAATAAAGACAGTTGTTTTGTTCTTTAAATAACTTGAACTAATGGGTCACAGCTGCTTTTAATTTGAAAAACCTCCCCAGGAAGACGAGTAAAAACCTGAACAGGCTTTTTATTGCCAAGTAATAAGACATTAAGCTTTGCTGATTATTACATTACAAAGATGAGTTGAAACCCGTTTAGTCGGTTAATGATTCAGCCCAACCTGTGCGCGTACCTTTGGTACCCGCTCGCCTCGACTTTGCCCTCGTTTCCTACAGGAATCGCGGCTCGACTTAATCCATTGTTCTTGACTTGACTTTACGCCGGGACTAGAGGGAGCCTGGGAGATATAAGTTACAAAATTAGAAACTGGAGCACATCAAACTGTGGAAGAAATCCCAGTTCTGCTGTTGGGGACCACGCAGAAGTCATGGTATCCATCACTTGTAGCTGCGGCGCCCATGGGGAGAAAATGCTCAGGTAGCAGCCGGCGGCGGCGAGGGCCACTGCTGGAAACATGTGCATGTAATTAGGTCAACAGAGAAAGAAGATGGGAAGCTGGGGAAGGTGGTAACACCTTAAAGCGGGGAGGAATTTGCTATTCGTTTTCCTCCTGCAAGGTGACCCCAATAAGTCAACCCTTCAGTCTATTTCTGGTTGGCTCCGCTTGGTCTCAACCTGCTTCTTTGCTCTGGTTAGCTGCTAGCGTAGTTAGTGGAACAACACATAACCGGAGCTAATTTTTCAATTGGGATCAATTACTCTCTTTTTTGACACAGTATGAAGATTCTGTTTTATGTTGACTAAAAAAAAAAAAAAACTGTTCATTTGTACAATCTGCATGTTTACTGTTTATCCTGTTAGAACCAAGACACAACTTTCTCTTTACATCCATTAACCCTCCAAAACTTACTCCAAATAAATTTGATAAATTAGATCCTTTTTTAAGCATTAGCTGAAGAAAGGTAAGTCATGACATTACATTAGAATGTATTGATCTTACATAGGGCAATTGATAACAAATAAATACATAAATCTATGTTTCTCGGGTACATTTTAAGATCTGGAGACAAAATGTTTTAAAAGTACAATCATTGAATGACTTAATTGTGTAACAAGTACCTGAGACACATAGCCGTGCAGCTCTTGTGGCTACACTTTAAATTTAATCTAAGTAGCTCCCCCACATTAATCCAATAAACATAAAGTGAAAGATTTTAAACTGGCCCAAAATGTTAAGCTTACGCATCACAGGTAGGGCAGGTGAAGGATTTATTTGACCCGTTTACAGGTGTTGCCAAATGTGCCCTTCTTGTCCTTCATCCAGGTGGAAGTAAAGAAGGCAGAACCTCGTGACAACAAAGCTCCTGGCCAGCTTGGTCCTGGCCAGTGGGCTCCCAGGGGGATTTTGACTGCAGCTAATGGTTGGACAGCACAGCCGGCCCCAGGCTGGCAACAGGCTTACGGCCCACAGGGTGAGTGGGACCGAGTCCCAGAGTGAAACGAGCAACAACCTGTGTAGATATGGAACATGTTCTGGGTAAATATTAACCCAGTTTATGTAGATTAGCACTTGTTCTTGTTACCTTGAACTTTAAAGGGGACCTGTTAGGCAAAATTCACATTTTGCACATATTTGTACTTCTCGGCTGCTTCTAAAAACGGCTCAACCGCTTAGAAACAAAAACACCCAGATGTCATTTGGTTGTAAGCTAAAGTATTTTGGTCTTTGGAAAGTGAGCCGTTTCAAAAACCTCCCAATAAGTCATAATTAATGGGCAATGTGTCGTTACCTAGCAACATCAGTGGAACTCTGCCTGTTACCTAGCAACATCAGCAGAACTCTCCCCATTACCTAGCAACCCAAGCAGAGTTCCAGCACGTTTGATTGGGTGCAGGAAAAGACAGTCGTTTTATTGTAGACTTGCCATCCGAAATTGCTGCATTCTTGTTAGTTGTGCAGGAGGTTCCACTTCTGCAATTCATAGATTCAGTTGTATAATTACACATCTGTATGATTTTTAGTGATGGCACTCATCAAAATGTAAAGTTTGTTCAACTGTGGATTGTATGGTGTTTTCTTTATAATTTTCTTTATGTAAAGCACTTTCACCTGCCTTGCTGAAATGTGCTTCACAAATAAACTTGACTGATTTGTTTGCAGGCATTTTCACAAATGAGTGTAAATGTTGAGTTGGGGGTGTGGCCAGCATCAACTTGTTCAGATTTAAAGTGGCTAGAGGCCCTAAACAACTCATTCTAAAAGGAGATCAAAATATTGAGTAGACTAAAATATAATTATCTAAGAATAATTTTGTGCAAAAAAACAAAAAACAAACATGTTTTTTTTATCACACACAGACCTATTCTAAGCAGTTCAAAGAAGCATAATAGGTCACCTTTAAACATTAATCCAGTTTATGTAGATTAGTCCTTGCTCTCATTGCCTTGAACTTTAAAGGTAACCTGTTATGCAAAAATTCACATTTTGCATGTTTGTGTACTTCCACTTGGGTCTCAATTGCTTCTAAAAACGACCTAAGAACTTAAAAATACGTACCTATGTGCTTTTTGGCTTTAAGTTAAAGTATTTTGGTCTCTGGAAAGCGTGCCATTTCAGAAACCTCTTGATAAGTCACAATAAATGGGCACTGCGCCGTTACCTAGCAACATCAGCGGAGCTCTGCCTGTTACCTGGCAACCCAAGCAGCAGA